ACCATTGTTTCTTAAAGCTGAATAGTACTCCATGGTATACATTAGACATGAATAACCAGATGAAAAAGCCATGCCTTACCTACCCATTTTCTCAAACAATTGTCTTCCATTTTTCCTTGGTTACTTGGCCTCCTTGCCATGTTAAAGGAAAATTGGAGGCAGTAGATGTTTTTCAAAGTTTTTGTTCCCCTCTCTTTTGCATAGATACTACTCATCATTTTATAAAATAATGAAGTTAAGATACATCCAGAAAGAAATGAGCCAAAAGTGATCTAGACAGTTCTGTGTTTTATAACATTACATTGGTGTTTAATATCTACAGAGAGAATTAAATACAGCAGAGATTTCCTGTTGAAGCTCTCAAGTGTTTCCATCTGCAGAAAAAAACCAGACTTTCTGCCTGATCATCCCATTGTACTTCAAAAGCCAGTAAGTAGTTTTCTAATTTTGTATTGTAATATTTTATTCCAAAATATTTGTCTTTAACATTTTCATTTGACTCTACTTCCAGATTTATAACCTTTCTTATTGCAAAATATAATTCAGAAAAGTACAAAAATCTAAAGGCATATAACCATTATCAAGTAATTACCACTCAAGAAATAGAATGGAATATTTTTTTCAGAAATATTTTTCTGTCGAGAGGTCATGAAAATATTATGCCATATTCTAAAAGTTCTATTTTGTTTTTCAATTAAGTTCTATAATCCACCTGGAATTGATTTTACTGTATGATGTGAGATAGGAGTCAAGTTTTACTTTTTTCTACATGGTTATCTTAGTCATTTTAGTAATTTTTATTGAAAGGATAGTCCTCTGACACCTTTGTGGCAATATAGGCATGTTCTGTTTGTGGGCTCTCTATTCTGTTCAATTAGTTTTTTTTATACAGCAAAACAAGTCATCCTATTTATTTTTCTTCAGTATGTCTTTGCTATTTTTAGCTCTTTATATTTCTGTGTTATCCTATTAAATTCCATCTATATGAATACACACTATACATACATACATACATCTTTTAGGATATTTATTAGAAAGGACGGGGTTTTGGCATCAGACTTGGGTTCCATTTGTAACTCCATTCTGTGTACTGATAATTCAAACTGGGACAAGTCACTTAATCTCATTGAGCCACAGTTTTGCAATTACAGATAAGGTTGGTAATTTCCTCTGGTTGTTAGGATTAAATAATTAATGCATGAGAGTGCTTAGCATAGTACCTATCTCTCACTATGCACTTAGTAAATGATTTCCATCCTTTATGGTCTCTACTTAAATTTAACTGGAATTTGACTTTAATCTGTTAGGGTTTTCATAAATACTTTTATATAGGTAAAGGCAACTAGGATTCTATTGAGATAAGAATAGAATATGAGATATAGACTACTACCTTCTGTCTCCATTTCTGGGAGTCTAACCCTTTGGAATCCATAGTATTTTTTCTCAAT